TATGATAGTCCATCTTAAAAAAAAACAGGGCCCTTTTTTTAGGGTTTGCCCTTCCCAAGCAGAACAAACCCAAGAGAAAGAAATTAGACTGAGCATTAACCATCTGAGGATTGAGATTCTTTACACCTTATTCCAGATAGCTTTAAAATAAGTCTTTACATCTGACACCTGTTGAGCATTTCTGGATTCTCATTCTAGGGTAAACATTACCACAGGACATGAGTCTTACTCTGAAAATGTCTATTTCAGAGAATCACCCTACTGATTCTCAAGGGTGTATAGATGTTCTTCATTTTTTATGTTAAACCATATTTCAAACTTATGAGCTGATGCAAGTGGCCTCATTTGACTTTATGAGGTTCATTTTTTAAGTGGGAGGTGTGCTGGAACATGTAATTTCAGTAGTCTGTATTTTAGGCATCTCCATACCACCAGTCAGGGTGGCAGAGAGGCACTTGGGCTCAGAACAACTTCTGCAGCTGAGCAGAGCTGCTGCTGGTGTCATGTTCCTGCAAGCACCATGGGCCTGGGGGTAGCTCAGGAGATGTTGACTCTTGTCTTCCCAGTTGCTGCTGAGCTTGGAGCTGGAACTGCTCCTGACCGGAGGCTCTTGTCCTTGTGGGAGCCAAGGAGCCCATGCCTGGCACCAGCAGGGACCCAGCCCTCCTGCCTGCCTCAGCCCCTGGTTCACATTACAGAGTCTGACCTGTAGTAGAAGCAAATGTCAAAACTTGCTCCTAAACTTGCTATGCAACATGGCAGCTCCTCACTCTTCTCATGATCTCAAGAACTACTTCCAGCTTCCAAAACCCAGCAGAAGCCAGAACTCCTGCTTTGTACAAAGGTGAGAGCTTAACCTGCCCCTCTTCTATTAATGGGCTGCTGTTCTCCCAGCTGCACAAACCCTGCAAAAACAAGGAGCCCTTGCCTGGCAGGGACATGAGGTATGACTTGACCTGAGATGCAGTGCATCTTACCCTTGTTAAAACATGGCTTATGCTGAACTCAGAACCATGTATCCAATTGTTCCCCTTACCTTCCCTCACATGCATTATTATATGAGACCTCTTGCAATCCTTATATATTTTAATATAAACACTGATTTTGGATACACCAGAGCTGGCCTTGCCTGCTGCTTTTATCATGGGGCAAAGTACCAGCCAAGGCCCAAATAATACAGATTTCTTAATGCTGATAAAAATCAGCATGTTGGCAGAAAGGCACATGGAGTTGCTGGAATATGTTGTCATACATTTCTAACAGGCAATCCCTTTTAGCAGGCAGAGACCTTCATATTTAAGTCTTCTAGAAGTTTCAGTGATGAAAAATTTGCATTTGAGAAAAACAGAGCAGAAAAGTGTGTATGTGTTCTTCACATGAACATATGATACATTGCAGTAATCAAGTAATGATCATGCAAGTGCATAGGATAGATCCCCATATTCTGCTCAAGGATGAAAACACAAGGTCTCTGTAACCAGATGCAAGAACAACAATTCAGTCCCTCACCAATGCATTGTCATGAATTTTTGGGATTTTGAACTGTAAAAACTAATCTGTCGGTGTGAGACAGGGGCAATATAGTGGTCCAGAAGAATGTTATGGTCCCACACTCATCAGAAGACTCTTTTGGTCCACTACTGTCACCCCTGCCCCCTCCAAATTTCATGATCCTTAAATGTCTTTGATCTAAATCTATATCCTGAGCACATAATGGAAAAACAAACACATTGCTGTGTGGGATTAAGAAATGGAGACAAGAAGTTACTTGTCATAAGTATAATTATGATAAATAATTATAACCCAGGAGTTCAAAACTTTTTTCTCTCTCATCATGATTTTAGGTTCCTTACCCCTTGTAAGGAGCAGACATTAAACCAAAAACTGATCAATAATTTTTTTCAGTTTTTACTGTCTACAAAATTCTTCATCCTATACGTGGTCCAGAATTTCAGTATCCTACCAAGCTGAAGATACCAGACATTGTAAGCTAAATATTTGCAAGATGAAATGCCACAAAGACCCCAGACTAATAGAGTATATCCTGTGAAAATACAGTATAATCTTTTAGTGACAGTGATTTTTATTTTTTTAATAATAATCCTAATATTGGGCAAACACAAAAGCTAAACTTTGAAACGTGCACGTGAAAAAAACAAAAATACTGTGAATATGAATTTGTTTAAATTTCTTGGTGCATGAATTCTACCAGGACTACCTGGTAAGTAACTTATCACAAAGCTCACATCTGCCTGTTCACACTATTACTTAAGTTTTCAGATAAAGCTCCTTTTCATCTTGATTTTGGCTCAGCAGAACCTGTCTGCATGAATTATAGTTCAAATTGCCACAGAATTATCTGCTTCGGAAGCAGATATTTTGTGGGACAACATTGTAATACAAATCACACTTAAACTTCTCTGATCTTGACATAAAGGAAACAAAGCTTATATTTACTGCACAAAAAACAAAGTAGCAGAATGAAAACCCCAATCAAAATCAGTAATGTCTAACAAAAATAAATCTATGACTGATACTCGAGCACAAGAAATAGCCCTACCACATTCAAGCATCATTCCTTTTACAGAATCACTTGTTAGTTTTTTCCTGATGGAGCAAGGAAGTGCTGAAGCCTTTACAGCAGAACATGCATCACAGTTACTTTTTCCTCTTTCAATTACAAAACGTATCGTGGAACAGAAAGCTTATCAATGGATTTCTTTTACAAGTAAGTGAGGGATTAAATAGTAGATATTCTCCCTGCTCCAAATAAATTGTAACAGAGAAATATAACAAGTAATTATGAAAACTGAGCCACCTGGTCTGGTTGAAGGTGTCCCTGCTCATTGCAGGGGTTTGGAACTACATGACCTTTAAAGGTCCCATCCAATCCAAGCCATTCCATGATTCTATGAAAATCATAAATGTAAGTAGAATAAAATGATCCAACTATAGACTTAAGGTTGTTTCGCTTGTAACACACAAACTATTGTCATCATTATTTATCTACCTGAGCCTTTTCGCCATTTGGTTCTAAATTCTCTTTTTTATAATACCTTGAAATCACCTTTGTCTGGCACAGAAGTTTCGTCTTTCTTTTCTTGAGGTTCACCATCTCTCAAAGAATCGAAGTCTGAGTCTTCATCCTGAAGAAAGAAAGAAATGATAAACAATAGCGTTAAAACAACAGCAGAAGCATTATCAGGGTAGATAATTAATTTCTACTTGCAATAATTTATGCTGAAACCTCGATTAGAACAGCTGTTGGTTACACCCAGTTGAGTTACTGCTCTCAGATTAATGAACAAACCACCACATGGTTTGGCACACACTGGCACAAAATCTATATCGGGGTACCCTTTCAACAAGTCAATGAAGGAAGAGCCATCACAGCTGTGAGATAACCAAAATGTGTCTCTGTAATTATTCTGTGAATAAAGGTTTGCTTTTTGTTTTGAATATGATCTTTTGGCAATCTGCTCCTGCTCTTAGCTGTGTTAAACCCCAGTTTGAAATATCCCAGAACATATTCTCTGAGTTCAAACACAGAGTGTGAAGCTTGTTGCAGTTGCAAAATTTTAAATTTAATGTTTCCATTTTTTTCAGGAAATGAAAGTTCCAAAATAATTCTACAATGTAGGGTGCCTCCTTTTGAAACACTTTGTAGAACACTATTAAAGGACAGTTCCTACAAAAAAATTTTGAAAATATTTTGTTTCCAGAGTACTTCCTGAAGTGATGTGCCTCCATTCAGTCAGGGAGCACACAGAACAATGCATAATGTACTACTAGTTTAAACTAAAGGCAGATCTTGAAATGATGAAGAGAATGCAAAGCAAATGAAAAAGTCAGAACTAAAAAGGGAATGTGTAAATAAAATTCAGTTCTCTATTCCTGGTCTCTATCCTGTCCTTATCCCATTTTTAATAACAAAAAGTATGGGTTGGAGACATTATTATACATGTAAAAATTTTGTTATTGATACAGAAATATGAAGTTTTTAATAAAAGTAGCATTCAATTACAAAAGAAAAAAGGCGTTTTAAGTCTGGGTTCAGGCTGATAATTCAGCCCCTAAAGAATGTTTCCTTCCCTGTTCATTTTTTCCACTTTCTCATCTTTTAATGTCCCCTTAAGACCTTGACTTCTCTCATTTTTTCTATGAAGATGAGTTCTTTGGCTCCTGTGGATTCAGGAGGACTTTTGCCGCTGAGAGCCTTTCAGGGAATATTTCACCTTAAATTCCTCAAGGCAGAGACATTGCTGCCTAGTCCCATCAGACAGCAAGTTTGTACACTAGCTTGAATACAAACATGCTCACAAAGCAGGATTTTGTTTTCTGTCAAATGCAGAGGACCTGAAGCAAATTTTTGAAGCCATTTTCTTACCTCTAGTCCTTTTGCCTTTGATGACATCATGGTCTTCCCTGGATTCATGTAATAGAGTGTTTCTGGCACCTCAATGGGCAGCAATTCTTGGGACACATTTTCAGCATTTACTTCTGGCACCTCTACAGGTAGGAATTCTTTAGACAAGTTTTCAGGATTTACTTCTGTCACCTCTACAGATAGGAATTCTTTAGACATGTTTTCAGGATATACTCCTGGCATCTCCGTAGGCAGCGGTTCTAGGGATGTCTTTTCAGGATATACTCCTGGCATCTCCGTAGGCAGTGGTTCTAGGGATGTCTTTTCAGGATATACTCCTGGCATCTCCATGGGCAGTGGTTCTAGAGACGTCTTTTCAGGATATACTCCTGGCAACTCCATGGGCAGCGGTTCTAGAGATGTCTTTTCAGGATATACTCCTGGCAACTCCATGGGCAGCGGTTCTAGAGATGTCTTTTCAGGATATACTCCTGGCAACTCCATGGGCAGCGGTTCTAGAGATGTCTTTTCAGGATATACTCCTGGCAACTCCATGGGCAGCGGTTCTAGAGACAGGTTTTCAGGATCTACTCCTGGCACCTCCACAGGCAGCACTTCCCAAGACATGTTTGCAGGATGTACTCCTGTGGGAGTCAATGACAAGTTATTTTATAAAATGACCTGAGGCCCCACCCATCTCATCTCTGTAAGTAAAGGACTCCCCTCCCACTGCCGAAGACAGTGGAGTGCCAAGGATAGACTGCTTCAGGGAAGGACCTTGCAGCACAAGCACAACAGCCAAAAGGAACGTGGTATCTTCCTGTGGCTGGGAACCTCTCCCAACCTGTGCCTGCCCCATGGGTCCTGCACTGCTGCCATCCTTTTGCTGTGGTTAGCAGAGTCATGGGCTGTCCTGCCAAGCAGAGGAGAAGCACAGAGAGCACCACCTCTGAGACCTGCTCCTTCAAAGCCATTTTTTCCCCACTGTGGCATAGGGACTGTCCTGAGCAGAGACAGCTCCTGTAGGGGGGACATTGAACCCTGAAAAAGGCCTCTGAGTGTAAATAGCTACCACTGACTTACCTGTGTGCAGGCACATGCCTGTGCACTTTAGTCAAACCTCCCCATAGGTGGGGGGACCTGAAAAGAGATCCTGCTGCCTGGAAAGAGGCATTGCCCTGTGCCACTGGAGTAGCAGTATCAGATTGTGTGTGATAGGACAGTGGGGGAGAAGGAAGTGGACATTTGCAGGTGTTAACAAAGGTCCTAAAGTCATGCAAGCATGACCCAGGATTACTGCTTCATCTGGCAGTACCTTAAATACAACCAAAAAAAGCAAGGAAATCTGTAATAGCTGTGAAAAGCTGGTAGAAGTTATGCTTTTATAAATTTTCCAGAGAAAGGCAATTGAACTTCACATGACAACTGCGGAAAATCTCTGTCAAGATGAATGGAATATAGTATCCAGTGGTTAAGTTCTATTAGTTTTATTTTTACAGAGATTTTGTTCAGCTAAAGAGCATGAACGAACAAAAGAGCACATGAACATCTCCAGGCATACCCAGTGGAAATTATCATCTTCAAAGACAGAAAAACAAATAAATAACAAACTAGCAGCTCCAGTAACTGTAGGCTGTGTCATAGCATCTGCATTTGCAGCATGAAAAGTAGCTCTGCCCACACTGGAAGTTCAAGAGCATCTTTTGGCCTCAGGTCACGGACACACTGTGCTGCATCCTGGAGAACTCCTTTTGCAGCTTAATTTAAAGAACAACAGTCATCCTTTTTTTTTTTTTTTTACCTGATCAGAAAAGAAGACCTGGTTGACCTTGGAAGACCTGTCATGGGACACTAAAAATACCATGATACTTGTTATTAGAGCAGGTCAACTTTGCCCAGGCTGATTAGTTCAGAGAATCATTAGCATAAGTGATGTAACAGAAACCCCTCTAAAGCTGATGAACCTTACAAAAGTTGAGATTCCTTGTCCTCAAGAAAACCTGTGGAGAAGAAAGATGGATTTTGTGTAGAGGTTTCCATATCTGCAGAGTGAATTCCTCATAATACGCATGCTTAGCTATCTAGAATGATCTTGCGACCTTCAGCTAAATCAAGTGCTGAAGTCACTACTCTGTGTGACTCCACAGGGAATGCCATAAAGAAAGAAAACTCCAAGGCTCTCATGAACAACTGAATGAGTGTTATCTCATTTAAAATCTGAATGTACAAAGCTAGATGGTTTCAACTTGTAGAATGAAAAGCAGAGTCTTCAAGTGGAATGATTTTATTTATTCACATTTCATACTTCAGTAATTTAAGGATAGATTAAGCAAAATAACCCACCTGTTTCAAAGATTTAAGTGTAGTTGCCCTGGCAGCAAACCACACACTACTCCTTTAGTGTAGTACTTATCACAGTTTTATCTTGCTTATCACACAGAATGTGCCAAAACCAGTACAACCTTGTACATCCTCTACTGCTTAGTTTTCTTACTCGCACTACAATGCAGTTTGTAGAAGCATCACTAACTTGGCAGAGGTACCTGTATTACATCTGACTGCAGAGACAAGCTGTGGAGAAATGGTAGCTCCATGACAAACATGTTTTTCAACATGTTCAGATGTAGCTGTGTGATTTCTTTTGTCATAGTCTTGGACTAGTTTGAAACTGCTGATAGCCAGGTCCCCCTAAATGCCTTGCAACAGTATATGCTTGCCTAGCTTTCAAACAGGCCAGGCAAAATGAGCCTGAGGTTATTCTGACAAGGTGGAAATACAACCAAGACTGGCTGTGACCATCTCACTATTCTCTGACATATAGATATTTCTAAACAAAAAACAGCACTGGAGAGCAGAGTCAGATGGACATTCTGGCTCAGCTACATACTCTTTCTGCAGGAGGAGTGGTGTCTTAGGCCATCAGTTTAGCAGTTAGTGAAGGAAGGAGATGTGAAGCAGGAGAGAAAATTCACGGGAGACAGGGGCACTACTGCTGTGTGTTATCTTAGCCATATAACAAGTAAGACAGAATCTTCTGGAAAATTATTTTAAAGTAAGTTTAAAAGTGCTAGAATATATCCTAGTTAAGACACGGTGACCATACTGAGAAAAGCATGGCACTTTATATCCATTATACAAATGCATCAGCATTTGTATACATGTAGCATATAACTAGAACACAGCTTCGATACTGAGAGTTATTACTTTCCCAGTAGAGATAGTAACACCATTAATGACTTTGTACATCACTGCACTCACAGTTAAATAGACTTTATGTTTCTTTCATGCTACAGTTACTGATGCACTGAATAAAGCCCAGAACTTACCATACCAGTCTTAGAGCTGCCTAATTGAAGTGTAAATTTATGCTCCATTTTATCTCTCTCAGTTTTTATGCATGGTGCATATCTACAGTCCTCAATGGTTACCTGTACAGTGAGAAAGTCCTCTGCACCTGGAGTTCTCTCACTGTGGGATGTTTTTCTATACTTGGAGAAAGTTTCCCAGGACTGCAGTAAACTAGAAGAGCAGTTCCCAAAGTTTTTTGAATCACTGTTGACTCTCAACATTTCTGCAGGCTTACATGCAAGTTTATCATATCCTCATGAGATGGAAACCAGCAATATGACCAGTATAATGCTTCCTCCCACTGTGGGTTACAGACCATCAGTTCCTGCACCTGCAGAGATCATGGACTAGAGATTAAGAGTGACCAGGAATATGAAGGATTTTCTGAATACTTATCTGTATGTGGGAACAAAAGATTTAACCTTTAACAAATTCTAGGATATCATCTGTTAAATCTCAAAACCAAATTACGACATATTTGGGTTAGTAGATACTAAGCCAAAAGAAATGCAGCTTAAGGAGGAATTTGGAGTATGATTTTCTTTTAAGACTGGGTGACATCCAGTTGAATAGCAGAAATTGCAAAATTAAAGAAACAACTGTCAATTGCACAAGATTTAGAAGCGCATATTAACTTATGTAGAAACTTGCAGCTCCTTACCTGATAGTTATCAGCCTCTGAGGATACTCCATTACCTCAGCAGAAGAAAGGAAATAGGAGGGGAGCAATCTAATTTACAGATTATTAGCTGAGGGAGGGTGCAATAAGCAGCAGTTGGCAGGAAAAGTCAGTCTGCTAGAGGGCAAGGCACCATCTTTTCCCAGTGTTTAAAGGCAGAAAAAAAGAAGAGAGAGCTGGGAGCTAGGAAGTGCTCACAGTGTGCATATCAGGTGTCTGTAAAACCAAATGATCAGAACCCCAGTAGTGAGATTTAATGCTATGACATTTTCTGGATTAGAGATTTTTAGTTGCTATTCTTTTTAAAGGACCAGTCTACCAAGACTGCTTTGAAGAAACTAGAGTATCTCCATTTTAAATGTTTGTCTTCACCACCTTTTGTTCCTGATTTCCTCTTTTGTTTCTTCTTTCCATTCCTTGACACCTTTTCTTTACCACTGACTTCTTAGATTTCCAAAATATATATTTCCTTCCTTTGTCCATCTCAATACTACATAGCTGTAATTCAATTTTTCACTTTTTCTTGAGTATTATAGTTTGTTTCCCTTCTCTCCTTTCTCCCTCCTTGCTTTTTATACCCTCTGTTTTCTTAATCTTTCCCCTTTGTCTCACATGTCTCCTACATACTGTAATTGTACCTCTGTAAGCTTCAAGTTTAAATGATGAAGGTTTGGTCATATTTGGAATAAGCATGAATACTACAAGAATTGGGGCAGCTGGAATCAGGCTCTGACATCTGGATAAGCAATAGTGGGTTGAAGTGAATATAAAGGAGACCTCAGGGGCCCGGGAGGAAGCAACTGAAGACATGACAGGACATCCTAGAGTTTTGATATCATCTGATAGAGGGGTGAGAGAAGTGCTTTATGAACACTGAAGATGTGCTGGGCTTCAACTGGAACCCTGCAAGGGACAGACTTTCAGGAGGAACTCAAAGGTACAAAATTTGAATGGCATGAAGGACACAGAGCTCTCACCCATTGCTAACTGCTGACCAGCATACCATGGCCAGGTATGGTATGCATGAGGTATGGTATTCCTCCATGAGGAAATGAGGCCCTGATGGCCTCCTCTGCAGCATTACCATTCTAGAAGACAGTGAGATATTGTACACACATAGCAGAGCTATACATGTAAACAGGTTTTGGCACAGGGTTTCTCAGAAGGGAGTCCTCTACCACCCATGTTCTCCTTTATCTGCTGTGGCAAACACATTTCCCATCACTCATGTGGGGCAACCTGTAGTCACAAATGAATAGCTCACTTCACTTAGAATGTTTGCAGTAATCTCTCGTTTGATCACTTTTTGTGTTACAGAACAGTGTAAAATGCTTCTGCTTCCTAAGTGGCACTCACCCAATAAGACTCTTCAAATTCTCACATGCCTTGTGAGGGGTTAAAGAATCCCATTGCTGCTCTCCTTAGGTTCCTATGGTCTGAGTCACCCCACCGAGCTGCCCAGTTCTTCATGCACCTTAGTGACAATTGGAAGGGCTGGGGCAAATGTGCAATTGCATGCTAATCCCTTCACTTACTTGTAGATAATGAATAGGTAAGAAGGAAAAGCCAGACACAGAAAAGATGCAAAACATATTAATTA